CGCCGGCCGCCCAGCCCGAGACGGTCAAGCGCTACGCCTCCCTGCCCCACATCAGCGTGGCCCGCAGGCCCGACGGCGCGGCCCCCGCGCCCGTGGCCGACACGGCCCGCCGCAGCAGCGACGGTGAGGCTCGTCCACTGCCCAGGGTGGCCGCGCCAGGCACCACGTGGCGGCGCATCCGGGATGAGGATGTCCCGCACATCCTGCGCAGCACGCTGCCCGCCTCCGCCCTGCCGCTGAGGGGCGCCTCGCCCGAGGAGGGCCCGGGTGGCCCTCCGCAGCGCAAGACCAGTGATGCCGTGGTCCAGACCGAGGACTTCATGGCCCCCAAGACCAACTCCAGCACGTCCCCGAGCCTGGAGAGCCGGGAGACCCCCCAGGCCCCCGCTGGTGGCCCTGCCTCCTTGCTCGGCAGCGACGTGGACGGGCCCGCCCTCGCCAAGGCGCCCACCTCTGCCACCTTCTCCCACGAGGGCCTGGGTGTGGCTGCGGGGGTCTTCCCCGCCAGTCGGCACGGCTCCCCCAGCCGCTCGGCCCGCGTGCCCCCCTTCAACTACGTGCCCAGCCCCATGGTGGTGGCCACCCCTGACTCGGCTGTGGAGAAGGCCCCCGCTGTTGCCTCCCCCAGCATCCTGGAATAGCGGCCCGGGCGGGCCTTCTGGAACATCCTGTCCGGCCCTGCAGCCGTGCGGCTGTCCCGAGGGTGGTCCCAGGGTCCGCCCACCCACCGAGCCCCGGCCCTCGGAGCCCCCCCCCCCACTAGCTCGCATGGGCCTCACATCTCACCCGTAGATGCTTGCTTCTTGCCCTGGGGGCTCCAGAGGGACAGGGGGCCATGGGCTGGACCTCGAGTCCCAGCCAGGTAAGCCCATGAGGGTGCCTGCCCCCAGCCCGGCCCACACGCGGAGACCACCCTGCACTCCAGGCCTCAGCCCGGCCTTCCCCTCCGGGGAGCCGGAGGGAGGTGGCAGTGGCCGCCCAAGGTGGGGGACAGGGCTGGGGAGGGTGGTGCCTTCGAGTGCCTGCCAGCGCCCGGAGGAAGGCGGTAATTACCGCGGCGGCTGTGTAATTTGTTAATGATGGCTTTGCCGGTCTGCCTGCCTTCTCAGCCCCAGCTGGGGGAGGGTGTGGCTGAGCCGGGCAGAAAGTCGGCTCCCACCCCGGATGGTGACGTTCAGAGAGCCTGGAGCACCCCGCGGCAGGGGGACAGAGAGCGGGGCCGTCAGAGCAGCCTGGTGCCTCCCACCCCTTGGAAGGAACAAGGAGAGGCGGGCGTGTGGACGACGGGAGGGGGCTCTGGTGCAGACACCAACAGGAGCCCACCCCGTGTCCTCGCTCCTGACTCGGGGAGGGACCCCGCAGTGGGTACCACAGGAAGGAGGCCGAGGAGAGTCAGGGCCGTGACCCTCTGGGAGCTCCTGGGGGCGGGGACGCGAGCCTGTGCTGGCCTCTCTCTCTGCCCACGCAGAGGGACGACCCCATGGATGGGATCGTTCCCGCCCTAATTTCTTCTTTGTGATGCATGAAGCTCGGATCTGCAGGCTCCCTGCCAGGCACGGCCGGCTCCTCCCCTTTGGGACAGCACAGCTGGGGATTGGCGTGGAGTCGGGGTCTGGAGCCCCAGGGCCACAGCCCAGCCAGCTGGACACGTCGAGGCCGGGGTGCCGGCCAGCAGGTGCTGGAGTGTTGGTGCCAGAGGCGGCGGCGGCGAGACGACGGGGGACAGTGAGCCCGGGAGGCCGGGAGCGGCCACTCCGAGGACCTCCCTCCTCCCCTCTCCCCTGCCAGCGGGAGGCGGCCGGGGTCTCTGCTCGGGGGCCCCGGGGTGCGTGTTCGGTCTCGGCTCCGAGGGCGCCTTCCTGTGGGAAGAGCCAACGACCTCTTTCCTGCGGGACCGGGAAGGAGCTGCTCTCGCAGGCGGGTCTGCGGTCACAGCCGCCTGCAGAGATGCTGTTTGAGGAGACGAACGACGCCCGGCTTTACTCCTCTCTCTGGGAGGAGGGGAGGCGGGGTTGAGGCCACTGGAAGGTGCTGAAGGACCGTCCCCGCCCACGTCCCCCACTGTCCCTCCCCGTCCCCCACCCCCGGCTGGAAGGAGCTGACCCAGGAGCAGAAGCGTTCCCTCTGGCAGGACCGTCCGCCCTTGGCGGACCCTGTGAGCCGTGCTGATCCCAGACCCCACGGACACCGTGCTGCTGCCAACACACTCACGCTGCGGCCTCCTCCCCAAAACGCCCCGTCCCGCAGCACGGGCGCCAGGGCTGAGCAGGGCATCTCGGACGGACGGCCACAGCTGACCCCCAGGACACACAGGCCCTCAGTCGCGTCTCAGAATCTCCCCATCTCTGTTGCCATCCGTGGGCTGAAGGGCTGGGACTGGGTGGTCTTCCGAGCGCCTTTTTGGATTTGGGGGCTGTTGGACGTTGCCCACTGTCTTCCTAACCACGGACCAGCCGCCCCCAAAATGGCCTGGTTAGGGGGAAAGTGGCGGCAGATCCACCGCCAGCTCGCCCGGCGCGGCCACGCACTGTGAGAGACCCTGGGCAGTGTGCCCGCCGCTGTGCCTCAGTTTCCCCATGTGGGCCGTGGGGAGAACTCCCAGAGCTACCTCTCGGGCGGGCAGGGGGGCCACGTGACTGGCGGGACAGGACCCTCGGCCCCGGGTGTTCCTCCACAGTCAGGACCAGCGCCAGGGGGCTTGTGCTGGCCCGTCCACGGCCACTCTGCCTTCTCCATTCCCTGCAGTGGGGACACAGCCGCCCCTCGTAACCCAGCCTAGGCGGGATGGGGCCTGGACCGCTGGGAGGAGGCGGTGGTCAGCGGTCACTGGACAGTCAGCCCGAGGCGGGAGCTGGAGGACTGAAGCCTTGGTCCCCTGGATGCTGCTTGGCCACCTGGCTCCCCCGCCGAGGGGACACAGGAGCCGGAGCTACATGGGGACCTGTCTGCTTCTGGGGGACTCCCGGAGCCAGCCCGAGGGGGACGCCTGGCACCCCCAGCCATGACCTCGGCCCCGGGACGGATGGACACCCCCACCAGCTGGGTGCTGAATTCAGGGCGCGGCATTACCCCACCCTGCCCGTCTGTCACCCAGCCGGTGCCCGCGGCCTGAGCCTGGTTGTGTTGGTCCGTCCCCTCTGCTGCCCGCATCCCCGTCTGTCTCTGCAGTGTTACAGGAGTGTAAATATCCACAGCCCCGTCCGTCCGCCCGCCCGCCCCTCTGAACGTAAAGCCATTGTCAGGGGAAGGCGGCCGGGCACCGGGGGCTCGCGTGCGCCTTTAATAAACAGAGCTGTCCGAGCACGCTCCCCGCTGTCTGCAGATGCGTGAGGGTGGGACACGGCCCTCAGGAGAGCTTTTCGGGGAGCCTGGGTCCACGTGCAACGTGCTGACCGCAGAGCCTCGCGCCCGCCAGGAGCAAAGAAACAGTGACCAGGCGTCGAGTCGCCGCCTGAGGGCAGGTCCTGGACGCAGAGCCGAGATTGGGGGGATCTGTGAGCTCAGGACGGGCACCGGGGGCCAGGGCCATGCAGGGGAAGGTCAGGGGCAGTGAGTCTCGGGCGGGTGACCGACCAGCTCGTCCTCTCTCGGGAGCCGAGTGCCCGCGTCTGATGGAACCCCACAGCTAACAGGCTGGACCTGCACCCTGACCAGGAACCAGACAGACAAGCGCCTGCCCTGGGGGTTCGCGAATGCCTTAGAGCAGGGGGCTCGGGACCCTGAGGGGTGGCACCACTGGAGACCCCATCTCAGATCTGGGCCCTCCGGACAATCGCTCCTCACACGGCCACGGGGGGCGGAGGAGGGGACAGAACCCCCACCCTCTTCTAGAACCTCAGGGGGCCCCCAGTCCACGCAGAGACGGGCAGAGCCAGCAGGGTGGGTTGTACGAGCTCAGTTTAATGGGATGATCCGTGAAGCAGGGTCACAGAGGAAGGGAGGGAGGATGGACGGACTGTTCTCGGGCCCCGGGACCCCACGTGAAGTCCAGTCTGGGCTCGACGGTCATCAGGGTCCCAGGGGAGAAGCCCTGGGGTGAGCGGCATTCTCACGGCCCCAGACCCGACCCTGGGGAGGGCACCGTGCCTGGCAGAAGCAGGCTGTCCCCACAGCCCATGCTGTCCCTGCTGAAGCCACACCCCGGGCAGGCTGTCCCCTGGGGTCTCTGGGTGCCAGGGCGTGCCCAGGCCACGGAACAGAGCCCAGCATCTGCTCCTGGGACCCCGGGGCCACGTCTGAGGTGCGCCGGGTCAGGCGTCCTGGGGAGGGCGGAAGGTTCTGGCGAGCCGGAGGGCCAGGTCAGCCGGAGGAGGCGGCCATGGCCCCGGGCAGCGCCACATGCGTCACCTGGCCGACGGCCCCCTGCAGCTCCTCGCCTGAGCGCCGCAGGTCCTCGCACTTCTCCTTCAGCCCGGCGCCCGCCCACCGCAGCCGCTGGTTCAGGGCCACGTAGGCCCGGCTCTGCTGGTAGAGCTGCTCCGGCCCGGCCTCCGCGTCCTCGGCCCTCTCAGGGGGGCCTGGGGGGTCTAGGGACAGGACACGGCCCGCCGGTCAGGGAGGGGGGCGGACAGAGGACTCAGTTTACCCCCCAGCAAAGCACGTGACTGGAGGGGACGGGTCACAGGACGTCGCGGCCCTGCCCAGGGTGCCTCGGCCCCGCGAGGGAACCACAGAGCAGGCGGGCTCTCATCCCGGCTCCCGGAACCTGTCCCATGCCCGGACCACCTCGTGAGGAGTCAGAGGCGGCAGAGGCCAGGAGGGAGTGGACACGCAGTGCCCGGGGACCCCGCTTCCTAAAAAGAGCACACTCGGGGGCAGGGGGGCAGGAAAAGCACAGCGTCAGGGCCTCCTGGAGACACGTCCAGGCCTCGCTCTGTCTGGTCCCTGTGACGAGATGACCTGGCCCGCCCTGCGCGGGGCTGTCTGCACTCACATGGGCCCCGAAACTCTGGTATGTGGTTAGAACCCACTTTTTTTACTACCTGCTTCAGTGAGAAGGCGGGAAATGCCAGACAGCCTACGTGGAAGCCAAGGGCGCTCCCAGACACCGGCTGGCAGGGGTAGCCCCCTGTCCCCCTAGCGCCTGTGCCTCAGTTTGCCCACCCTCTGGATGCAGGCGGACCTGGGCCAGCGATTCTTAAGCCGAGACTCAAGCAATCAGGAACAACTCGGCTGCGTGCTGGCGATAAATACAGTTATGTTCCTAGGGCTGCCCTGTCCGATGGAACTTTCCAGGTGATGGAAAAGTCCTCCAGCTGAGCCGGCTCATAGAGCAGCCTCGAGCGGCTCCTGAGCACTGGAAATGCCGGATGGAGCAAAGAACTGCATTTTTTACTATTACTTTAAAAAAACGTTCCCATAGTGTCTCGCACCTTCTATCACCCCATGTGACACGTTTAAGGGCTCTTCCCGCTAGATCAGCCCGAGGGCTGGCCTTCTCGCCTCTTTTGCTCCCCTCTCCGCCCCAGCGCTTAGAAGAGAACCTGGCACAGCACAGGTCTTGGAGGTTTGTTGAATGAATAAATGAGCTGCACAGAGCAGAACACAAAATTCACCCAACGACTCATTGGTCAGGGACCTGCTTGCACCTTCTGAACCAGGAATCAACAAACCTTTTCTGCAGAAGGCCAGACCACACATATTTCTGGCTTTGCAGGGCCAGTCTGTCAGACTACTCAACTCGGCCCAATGTCATATCAGGAAAGCAGCCCGTCCGCACGTCAGCGACCTGGGTGGCTGGGTGCAATACGCCTTTATGGACACGGAAACCCGAATTTCACACCATTTTCACCTGTCACAAAATAGTCTCCCCGCGGAATAAAAAAGTGTAAAATCCGCTCTGAGCTCCCTGGCCTTACGGGAACAGGCGGGGGCAGGACTTGGCTGCGGACCCCCGATCTCGAAGCCGCTCTGAAGACGCCCCCCCTTTACCGAGGAGGAGGGGGAGCCAGGGTCTACACTCTGATCCCCGGCTGGAGCCGGGGTGCGCTTCCCCCCGCCCGTGCAGCTGGGGTCCTGGGCTCCCCCTACCTTCCGGGGCCAGGGCGGTGAAGACGGGGTCCTGGGCGGACGCCCCTCGCACGTCCTCCAGCATCTGCTCCACCGTGGGGGGCGCCGGCCGGGTGGGCAGCACCACGCGTTTCTTGGCCTTGGAGCCCATGCCTGGTGGCGGGAGAAGGGGGCGCTGACGGGGGCGTCCACCCCTTCGCCTTTCCCTGGGCCGTTCCTCCCGCCCAGCGAACTCCTACACACTCGCCGGAGCCCAGCTCCCGCGGAGGCCCGCCGTGCCCCGCCCCTCCGGGTTCACCCCGCCCCTCCGGGTTCACTCCGCCCCTGGCCCTCCAGGCGCCCCACAATTCGGGGCCAGGGGCTTCAGCGTTCCGCTCCACCTGGGCCTCGGCTTCCCCGCTGAACCCCTAACGCCGCCTCCCCCTCACCCAGGCGCGCGCCCTCAGCCGCCGGCGCCCCGGCGCAGCCAGTTCCGCTTCCGGTCAGAGCGCGGCCCCGCCCCCGGGCACGTGACGCGCGCGCTTCCGGCTGCCTCCTGCTCCCGCCCCCCGCTAGCCGCGAGGCCACGCCCCCTATTAAAGGGACCGCGCCCGCGAGGGTGCTAGAGCGATCCCAGAGGAGAAGCGACTGGACCAGAAGGTGCTGGGGTCTGGACGGGCAAGGGGTGGGCGTGGCGTCCAGTCCTGGCTCTCTTCGCTGCATAACAAAGCATCTTAGGACCTGCTTTTCTGCAAAAGGGGGACACAGTCCCCAACCCACGTGGCTGTTGTGGGAACAAAGTAAATGTCCGCACAGGGTGGCCCTGCGCACAGTGACCGCTCGGTGAGGCAGCGTGTCCTCTGCCAGATCGAGGTCAAGGTCACCCCTCCATCTCCAAACCCCCTCCCTACCCGGGCGGGGGGTGCTGGACCGTCATCGTGGCCCCTCCGCTCACGGCTGAGAGATGGGGAGACAGGCTCAGAGCAGAGGGCAGATTTTGTGTTTTTAACAGCTTTACTGAATGTAATTTACAAACCATCAAGTCCACCTGTTTGAAGTGTACCAATTTAATAGTTTGTGGTTACATATATATATGTATTTAGAGTTGTGCAATCATCAGCACAGTCTAACTCTAGAATATTCTCATCACCCCAAAAGTAACCCTGTCCCCATGAGCAGTCACTCCCCAACCCCTCCTCCAGCCCCTGTCAACCACGAACCCCCTTTCTGTCTGTGGATGTGCCTGTTCTGGACATTTCACATCAATGGAATCTCACAATGTGTGTCTTTCTGTGTCTGGTTCTCTCACTGAGCATCGTGTGTTCAAGGTCCATCCTTGGTGGAGCTGTGTCAGGGCCTCACTCCTTTTCGTGGCCGAGTAATATTCTGTCGTTTGGATGGACCACATTGCGTTTATCCATCCAGTGATGGACATTTTGGCTGTTTCCACCTTTTGGCTGTTGTGAATCGCGCTGCTGTGAACCTCCACCCACAGGTTTTATTACCGGAGCAAACGTGGGTCCTGTCTTGGGAGTTAAACTGCACCAAAAATAGTTATTTCACAAAGTCTACTTTTATTTTATTTTATTCTATTTTATTATTTTTTTGTGTGAGGAGGACTAGCCCTGAGCTAACATCCAATGCCAATCCTCTCTTCCTTTTTTTTTTTTTCCTTGAGGAAGAGTGGTCCTGAGCTAACATCTGTACCCATCTTCCTCTACTTTGTATGGGACGTTGCCGCAGCATGGCTTACCATGCGGTGCATTGGTGCGCCCCCGCGATCTGAACCTGCGAACCCCAGGCGGCCGCGGAAGCAGAGCGCACGCACTTAACTGCTTGCGCCACCGGCCCGGCCCACACAAAGTCTACCTTTAGTTTGCAGCAAAGAAAAATGGAGACCATAGGGAATAATTTCACAAAGCTATGGCTCCCAGAGCACAGGGAGGTGGGTATCTTTATTTGGGGTAGGGAGTGAATGAATATTCAAAGGGAAGTTTCATCATCGCATGTAGAGGTGGGTATAAGCTTGCACATGCGTGGTTTGAAATCATGCTTCTACATACATTGCATGACCTAAAAATGGCTGCTTTGCCCCTTCCAGAGGAGAACTTACGATGTTAAGGAGGGCAGATTACTTTCGCACAACTCTCTGCCTATCTGTGCAGGTGTCAGTCTTGTGGTTGTGTTCTGGGCTGTCCTGGTCCGTGTCACAGCGACTGGGTCCAGGGCGGTTGTCACTTAGAGATTCTGGAACATGGCTGAAAACCTCAGGAGCTCAAGGTCGCAAGGTGTCAGATAAAGGAACACCTGCACCTTTCAAGAAGACGAGAGAATTAGGTCAAACACAGAGCTTAGAGTTTAGGCAGGACAAGAGGAGTGGGTTAGGGTCTACGTCTGGTGACGGTTTGTGTGTGGACGTGTGTTTTCAGTTTTCTCGGGCACAGAGCTGTGAGTGGAATTGCGTGGTCACGTGGTAACTCTATGTTTAATCGTCTCTAGAACTGGCTTGCTGTTTCCCAAAGTGGGTGCCCCAAGCTGGCGTGTTTTGGGCACTTCCTGTGTGCCCGGAGCCAGGGGCTGAGCTGGGTCCCCCCACCGCTGGTGCGTGTGAGGACAGAGGAGGGACTCTTAATAGCTCGCTCTGCGTCCCAGCCCTGCTTTCCCATCTCCCACGTGCCCCCACCTCAGGTTCCTCTGTCTGTTCAGAGAGGTGGAGAACCCACTGTACAGATGGGGAAGTGGAGGCTGGGGTTGGGGGTGAGGACAACGTGCCTCCAGCCCCCCCACGACCCTCGGAGAACGGAGAAGTACAATTATCGGAAACTCGCAGACCTGGCCAGTGGGTGGAACCACAGCGTCAATTGTCACATGCGAATCACGCTTGTGTTAGTCCTCGAGAAACGCGCCCAGCAGGATGGAGGATGGCACCGTGGGGAACTCGGGGAGAGGTAGGGCCGCAGTGGCCGTGTTCTGGAAGCTTGGCATTCGCAGCACGTGAGCGTCACTCAGGGACCCCGCACCCCGCTCCCACCCTTCTCATGGCTGGGGTCTCTGGGCCCCGGGCTGACCCCTTTCCTTTGTGGGCCGCTGGGTCCTCCCGGGGGCCGATGCCTGGGGGAAGGCAGTTTCCAAGCAGGGCACAGGGGAACCCCCAACCATGCCATGGGGATGGGGGCCCGCTCATGCCCCAAAGAAGATGGCAGCCTTGGCACCTCCTATTCAACCTTTATTTGAAAACTCAGAGGTGGGACATGGTGCTGAGATGCGGACCGGTGTCCTTTTTTCTCCCTCCACCTTCCCCGCGATTCTGGGGCCTGGAAGGGATGGTCTGGGGCCAGGAAGGGATGGTGGTCGGGGGCCTGGCCTCTGCCCCACCCCCACCACCCCCAACTGTGTACTAGACTTCTCTCTCTCTCTGTCTCTTTCACCTGGACCTGCCAAGTCCGGGGTGCAGGGTTCCCCGTGGGTCCCCCTGGCCTGCGGGCCTTGGTGGCCAGCCAGAGCCTCGCAGGGGCAGGTTCTCGCCCCCGGGGGCCAGTCTGGGGAAGGGAGTGGGACAGCGCACGTCAGCTCCCCGAGTCCGACATGTCCGGGTTGCAGCCAGCAGCTGGGCCTGGGGAGGTGAACAGGGTGGGCCCCAGCGCCGTGGGGGCTCACCCACGGCGGGGGGCAGCCCACGGAGAGGATGCTGCGGAGGAGGGGGCTCCCCAAGGCCACGGCCAGCAGGACCAGCACCATGGCCTGAGCTGGGCCGCGGCGGCAGTGGGGACGGGCAGGGGTGGCGGGGCGGGCAGGGGTGGCGGGCCAGTGGTGGCCGCGGGGGTGGCCGCCGGGGGCGCGGGCCCCAAGCAGGAGCCCCGACGCCGGTCCAGCGTGTGGGGCGGGGGGCAGGCGGTGCAGTCGAGCGCGGAGCTGCCGCGGCAGGTGTGGCACGACGGGTGGCAGCTGGAGCAGACGCGAAGGGCGGGCGTGGCCGGGCGCCCCGGCCCGGCGGTCACTGGCTGCCGCGTGTGGTTGAAGTACCGTGGTGGGCAGGAGGGGAGGCAGAGGCGGCCCAGGAGGTAGGCGGGGCTGTGGCACTCTGCACGGGGACACGCACACGGGGGTGAGGCCGCGGCCCCGCCCCCCATCCCCTGTGCACACGCACACTGCCGCCTCCCAGCACTCACCCTGGCACAGCCCCGCCGTGTCCCGCTGCACGCACACGCTGCTGGTCACCTGGGGGCCGCGGGGCCGCGCCATCATGTCCTCCGCTGTCCCGTACAGCAGCAGCGTCGAGCGGTACAGCGTCCCTGGGTACGGGTTGCGATAGGCACGGGGAGGAGGGGGGAGGCCTTTGGTGGCCCGGCCCTGCCATTCTTGGCCCCTCCCCCCAGGGGACCCCCACCCCACCCTGGAGCCCCAGACTTGGATGTGCCCTGGACACCCTGCACCCACTGTGCGCTGGGAACCGGACACCTACATCTGCCTGGTGGCTGGACACCTACTGTGTGCTGGCGGCTGGACACCTACTGTGTGCTGGGAACTGAAAACTTACTTCTCCAGAGTAAGAACACACCTACTGCGCACTAGTAGCTGGGCACCTACTGTGTGTTGGCAGCTAGATACCTACTGTGTGCTGGCAGCTAGACACCTACTGTGTGCTGGGAACTGGACACTTCTCCAGAACAACACACCTACTTCACGCTAGTAGCTGAAAACCTACTGTATGCTGGTGGCTGGACACCTACTCCTTCCCAGTAACTGGACACCCCCTGTTCACAGCCAGGCCTGTTCCGTCTCTCCGAGGAGCCCCTTTGCAGTGGGGTCACGGAGGCCGGCTCCAGAGCCCGCGGGGGAGGTCAGGGGTCACCCCCCCGGCTGCACCTGGCTCTCACCCGTGTTGAAGTAGTAGCCCTTGTTTTCTAGGCCCAGGGTCCACAGGCCCCGCGGGTCCTCGTCCCAGAAGTGGGTGGACATGAAGACCCAGTTGTTGTAGCCCTGGCTGCTCACGTCCAGGGGTCTGGGATAGAAGGTGAAGGAGGGGGGCGCTTTGCAACCACAGGCCGCTGAGCCACAGCACGTGTCTGAGCACGGGGCCAAGTGCTGGCCACGGACCGGCCCTGGGAGCAGGGGCTGGGGGTCCAGCCTGCACAGTGCGCTTGGCCCCTCCCCGGGCGGACCCGCAGGCCCCGGCCCACACCTGACGGCCACGAGCGTGGAGCGCGTGCCCATGGGGCTGGTGAGCGCTATCTCCAGGTCGCCGCGGCGGCTGTAGGACAGCGACAGCTGCACCTGCACGTGCTCCAGTGAGCGGACTCGGTTGACACGGCCGGCGCAGGCTGACACGTTCCTCCTCACGCGCAGCAGCGGCAGGATGGGGCTGCGGGCGGCGCGCAGGTGAGGCCCCCCTGCTGGCCTGCTGGGGGTGCGCAGCCAGCAGGCGGGTTTGGGCTCCGACCAGGAGGCCTGCCTACTTGTTCTACAGATGGGGAAACGGAGGCCTTGGGGCCTGCCTCCCACCCGTCTGCCCCCTGGGTGGTAATGACAGGTGGGGGGGAAGGCTGGGGAGGTGGCAGGTGTGGGGAGAGGGCTGGGCAGGTGGCAGGTGTGGGGGGAGGTCTGGGGAGGTGGCAGGTGTG